CCCTTCTGGATGATCTCTTTGGTTTCCAAGTCAAGAGGGGCTGAACACAGATTCACAACTTTATCCCCGTTTCTTGTCTGGACTTTGAGATCCGTCAGCCTAGAGGCATCTTTATTTTTTCCAGATGGTTGGACTTTGGGCTTAATAGAGATTCCACATTTATTCAGCTACTTCTAGTCTCTTTTTTTGATTAAGTCGATGTCCTTTTCGCCATTGTGACTGTAATATTGTGTAGTTTAAGGAGATCCTCCGTGGTAAGAATCTCATTGAGTTCATGCCTGAGTCTAGATTTAATATCTAAAAACTTAAACAATTTCCCCTTTTCCCTATCATATGTCTATCTAAATTTTTGCAAAGAAACTTGATATGATACAACATTGGATATATCGGAATGTTATTTTCTCATCAAATTGCGAAAACGACAATGGATTCCATAACGTTTTCAACAATTAATAAAGATCAAATGACAAGATTGAAAATGATTGTTTTCTTTAATCAGCTGTAATCAGTGCAATGACTGGCAATCTTACCACCATAATTATATGGTAAATATGAAGACCAAGATAGTGTGGCCTTCTGTTTGGTCGCAGTCTCCTTTAGCTTTATAGTTGTGGTTCGATCATGATTTCGCAATTTGGTCGGAGCGTCTGGGAGACCTCGTGGAACGTACCTAGTCGCGTGTCCTCTGCCATATTATTCGTGATTTCCAGCAGTTGACCATTGGCTGGGTACATTCCCACTGAGGACACGGGACTATGTATGTTCCACAAGGTCTCCTTGACCCTCCGACGATGTTGCGAAAACAAATTCGAACCATTTCTATCATTATATGCGAAGAAAATTTGGGTTTCGAGGAATCTCTTGTTTTATAACTGTTAAGCTTACTTCCATTTCGAGTGAAAGTGGAGTTGAGAAGCGAGCCTTTAGCCTGAATTTTGTTGTGACGATGATACCTTGCTCTGATGATGTTCGTCATATGACACACGAAAGCTTAGCACCTTTTCACCGGAATCGAAGAAGATTACTTCACAAACGGCGTCAGCATGAATCTTCCAGTAAAGCCAATCGACAACTGGTCAAGAGGAATCCACCGCCGTCTTCCGGTGGAACCGAACTTCGAATCTCTTTACCCAACACTTTCACTCGAAATGGAAGTAAGCTCAGCATCTCTATTAAGCCAAAGGAGTTTGCGACCAACAGAAAGCCACACCTTCTTGGTGTTCAAATCTACGATCTAATAACTTATTTTGTTCTCGACCCTAAATATCCCGAGTATAAGCCTGTCGTAGATGTATGGAAAATGGAATTCCATTGACATTATCAAGCCTCTTCTTCAGTCAATTCAGCTTGCATTACCTGTAATACCATAACCAGTCGATGTGTCTTGTCAACAATATGAACTCTGAACGAATAATTAGCCGATAACCTTGAAATTTGAGTGACCATCTCAATCTATACTCAACTAAATCCTGAAAATTTCTTCTGTTTTAAATGCATATGCTATTATAATTAATAATTTTTCTGCTTGTAGATAAGGCTAAGAAATCTCAGCCTATCCTACATATTCTATTTGACCAATTACATCGTCTCGTAGTGCAAACGGAATGCTCCAAACCTGAAACTGTACAACTGTCTTTCCTTCAATTGCTTCGTCTAATTTTGCCTTCGCCTCAATCTAAACTCCGAAATATTCGTTTGATATTGAGTCTTCCCAATCATCTTAAACCTGTGCTTCTTTGTTTACCTCATTCGGAATATCAGTCTATGGATCTCGACTTTTATGATGGCGAACTCGAGCTAGAAATTGACGATTTGCTGAGGCACTTTAATCGTCGACTTACAAGTGACCAGGTGAGCAGCTCATTCACATTTGTTTGCTTAATACTTTTTCTATATTTTAATCAAACTACTTGTGCAACTTATGGGCAAAATGGTGATTATCTAACTCCGATGACGCTTGGTCTGGTGGACGATGGTTAAGTGAGAAGATTGTTAATTCTCATGTTCTTCCAAAAGGTCTCATAGCCGTGTTTTTTTCGCAAATTCTCTATATTCTATGCAGCACAAAACCTGGAAGAGGATTCTGAATTGGATTGCGTGTTAGAGGAAATAGCCCTCAAGATCACCTACTGGGTTACACAGCCTCAAAGTATAGGTGACTTCTAAGACAGAAAATGCTATTTCTTACTCTCGTTTGCAATTTGATACTTTACTACCGAAATAAGCTACGGTGCTTGTTGATATAATCTAGACCAGCTGACGATTCAGCCCTCTACCAACATTTTACGAGTAGAATGTTCAAAGTAAGTGGCGAACAAAGATTTGTCCTGTGCCGGCACTATCATATCAATTACCAGATATAATTTATGCAAACGCAACTAAAATTGACTAACTATGAAGCATTTAGTTGTGAACTTTTCACACAAAAACCGAGACTATTAGGCACAAACCACATAGCTTACTTAACTTTTAATAGGAAGCATGTGATCTATTTGCAGGCATGAAAGAAACTTTTTAAAACCTCGACTAAGATAACGTTTTATATGTCTTGGTCTCAAAGCAACGAAACTCACTTTGTCGTGACAGCAGCTAAAGTTATGAAATGCATGCATGTGTTATATTTTTATTGGTCAAATAGATCTAGCCTTAGGATCTCCTCAAGGAGGCTAGTTCGAAACTCACAATCGAATGAGCCGAAAGTGGTACTTGATGAAGTTTGTAGCATATTTGCATTTTATTCTAAAATCATAACTCGCCATGTATGGTTCGAGGCCAGATATTATTTCAGTTGGGTATAGACCTTCAAGATAGAATTCCACATAATAGTACTTCTGTTCTACATGTTGTAGATAATTACTCCTATTGAATGATCGGGGATGAGGTTAACCAACGGATACTCCAAATAAATCGTTTTTGTTATGCAATAATGCAGAATTTTTCAAATGTCATCAAGTGAGGCCGTTTTGTGCTGTTTGGGGTTAATCAAACTTCTTGTCTTTATTTTTCACTTAGCATAAACGACTTGTAGAATATCTGCGAAGCTGTATGAATGCTTCTCCATCTGTTCAGAGATATCAAGATATCCAAAGTTCCCCTGGCTCTTCTGGGGCACAAAGGAAGATTTCACCCCTCGGCCTTCATTTGGTAGTCTGGTGGGCTGCTCGAGAGTGGCATTCTTACACTTCGGAGGAATCCTGCAACCTGCCCGAACTGGAAGACACCCAAAGTCCTGTTTTAGCCTGTCGGATTGCTGAGACGATGATAAACCATGTATTCTTTCAATTGGAACAGCGATATGGACGAGAAATAGTGTCATATACTTTACTGTTTATAACGGTAAGCCATAATAGCTATGATGCTATTGGATGTATAAAAAGAATCCTGAATATTACAGCATATCCACAAGGTCTGCAAATATACCTTGAACGAGATGATTGGCAATAAGCGAAACCTAGCCAAAGGATAAGGAAATAAACGAAAGTTTGTATGCGGATGACATGTTTATTATTCTTTAAGTGTAATAAAATAATTAGTTATTAGTTAATTGAGGGCCATTAATTGTTTAAATATATCGGTTATGTATAAAAAGGGAGTAAAGAATATAGCCGACTTGTCAAAAATGAGAAAACAAAAGTATGCATTAATACGGCTTGACTCAAATAAAAAGAGTAATCGTGGTAGTTAAGTGGTTACAGAACGTTACCATCGGAAATAAAATGACAGCTTCACAATTATGTCACAAGTATGACACCTTCTAACCTAACGATATCTCTGCGTATAGATTATTAAATATAAGTGTTAGGCTTACCACTTATGTAATAAGAGTAAATGGACAAATTTATCCGCTATTTTCGATATTGTGGTTGTGAACATGCAGAGTAGTATGAAAATAAGTGGATAATTTCCATGCGTTGTATACACCCTCAGTTCTATTAGCATTCAGAAAAATCACCTCTCTTTATCACATTACGCTATGAGCATGGGTATCGGGAAACCCATAGTTAGGGTCAAATTCTAGGAACCTTCAGCTCAGCATCAAGTTGAATGAAGTTCGAAGCCAACAGTTGACGGCGCTTATATGGTCGTTCAGGGTAAATATGTCATCCGAAATCAATTTGTTGTCCTGTCTACGAATGTTACTGGCTCAAGGAATGGCTTGCATCATCTAGATTTTTCGTTCAATAGTTGTCAAATTTGTCAAACTTTTGGATTTCATATGTATTATTTTAGCTAGCTTCGTTAGGACAAAGAGTTGAGCAAAATTTGCATTTTTCTTAGTTATTTCTGAAGCGATTACTGCAGAAAAATAATTTTATAATGAATCGATCACAACTTCTGAATGGGAAACTTAATGCGAGGACAAAGACCAGAAATTTGGGTTGATTTTA